GAACGCGATGTTCCAGAAAGCCGAAAGCCCTCATCGTCTCGCGATGAGATCTCTCTCTGCCTGTGTGTGGGTGCTGTCGTCAGCGACAGCTCTCCCGGTGATGGGGCCAAAGGCGGAGCAGCGACACCCACGCAGCCGGGTGCCGCAGTGTCAGCAGACGCGCGAATACTCAGCCACGACAACACGGAGGTGACCCATGAGCAGGGCTTGGCGACCTGCGACTCGGAAGCCGCATGCGGTGGCTCTATAATGACTGTTGCTTCGTGACGTTATTCATTAATCACCACACGGTCTCGTATTCACCACCACCACCACCACAGTGCATTGCGGCTCCTGAAATATTGAGGGTTTTTTTTACCGAATTCGACATTATTTTGTCTTGGTCTCATCTCGTCATTTTGATTGCCCAGCCCTGCCCACGAGGCCGGCTCTTGTCTCGTGGTGCTCGTCCCGTGTCGGCGCACCCCACGGCGAAGCTTTCCAACTGCCGGGGTCGAATCCGGGGGCCTGCAGCCGCGCTGTGGTTGAGTGGGCGCGGGGACCCCGCGGGGACTCTCGAGTGCGAGGTCGCGGGGGGGGGGGGGGGGTACTGACAATGGTCGCGGGATTCGCGTCCATTGGGGGGGGGGGGATACTCAAACTCAACGCATTTGTGACCTAGACCCTACCCCGAATGACCTAGTCGGGGTTGTTTTTTTTTTAAACAACTTCATGTGGTTGATTACAACTCTAAACCGCATCCGCACACACCATGGCGGCAGTAGAAGCGGATCACTGATGCATAAATGGGAAGAAACCCTCTCCATTGGTCGTGTGCGACTGCGATGATCCAGAACAGCCTGAACTATAACGTGCAACGACCCAATGCCCGATTCAAAAATACGGATACATCAAAGCGATGATACACGACTCCGCTACTCCTGGCTTGGCTGTCTGCCTTGACCACCTGGATGTGACATTGTCGCTCTGCGTCTACATCAGCAGCCGAACCAAAGAAGAAGAAGACGATTACAACTCTGAGAAGTAACATTTTCGGTTTGAATGACATATAACAAATACTTGTTGCAGGCCTTGTGTACAAGGTTTACGCTCGAGAGTGCTTTCAGAAGTAGTTACGTGATGCCATCTTCCAGGGATGTTCTCTGACACGAGGTGGTGCACTGTCGTTGGAAACGCTCCGAATGGGAAGTCTTCATCTCCTGCAGTGGGTACAAGCAGGACTGTGGGAACGGTAGTGACTCGGAGTGCTGTGGGGAGCGGTGGTGCAGCGGTTAGCGCTACGCTGCGCTGCGAACCCGGCCACCCGAGTTCGATTCCCGCTAACGGCCAACGCCGGTGACGATCATCTGCAGCGGTCCTGGGCCTCCCCTAGGTCGACTCAGCCTCAAATTAATACCTGGTACGGCGTGTAAACATCACCACTGGGGAGACAAAGGCGGTCGGGCGTGGTGCTGGCCACCCACCCCCTCGTGTGCCGTGCTGGCCTTCATAGGTGCTGGCTAACAGCACTTGCCCCTACAGTCTGTTCAGCCGATACGGGGAATCTTTGTTGTGTGTGGGCTGTGTGCGGTGGGTCTCTTTCACTGCCTCCATCGCGACCATTCCCTCTCTTCCACCCTGAAACTCCACACGCCTCTCCGTCACTGTGCGATGCGATGTTTCAAACGAGAACCTCCCCCCTCCCCCAGGCGAGGGAGAGGGTTCCGTGTGACCGCGGGTGGTGCGGGAAGGTGTCGAGTGGTCGTCCTCGCAGTGGCCGCTATTGTGCCAGGGACGTGGGAAGCGAGGATGATGATTATAACGAGACGTCACGGAAACCGGCGGAGCCACAGGCGACCCTTCTGTGTGTCTGTCCGCCCTGTACACACGACCAATCCATTACAAAACCCCACGTCTCATTTCTACAAATAATCACAGTCTTGTCTTACGTGGGACTCTCTTCTCATTTGACACGTAAACAATTGGTTCGATGGACACATACCCCTCACCTCTTCTGACATATAGAACTCTAAGCCCATCCAATACAGAAGAGTTATTGTAAGATTGATTTATTGATTACAGTGCCCCACTTGGCGTTGTATGCTTGGGGTTGCGAGGTGTCAAGGACATGGCAATGCAGCAATGGATTCTTGAATCTATTTGTGCGGAGCCTTAATCGTCGTGTTGAGCTCTCTCCAACCACTCCCGCTTCCTCCTCCTCCGTGAACCCAAGCGGCTCATTCACGGCATTGGCCAAACGTTGCACCTCAGCAGGGCCCTCCTGAAACAAAAATACGTCTTGAAACTCAGTAGGGACGACTGGACATCTGTAAACAAAAAATAGCTTTATAGCTCATCGGATTCTTCCAGTAAAAGTGGAAAATTACCACCACATGACATGGAGGAGCGGTAGTGCACTGGCCGCCTGTAGCTCGAGGCTTGCGGTTCGTGGCACGGGCCTCCCTGGTTAATGCTGCAGGCGTATTGACAGGAGGCGCCGTGCCCCTTCTGCTTCACAGTGCACGCTGTAGCTCCCGTGGCGTCACTCGCATTAAAAAAGAGTCCGTTGACAATAAATGTTTGACTTTTAAGCGATATTAATTCGTGGATTTAAACCAAGATAACGGGTTAATGTTTATATATTTCAGAGTGATAATGTACATATACAACACAGTCATCAATAGCATTGTAGCCTTAAATAAGATTATAATATACAATCAGCGATGTGTCAGGCAATGGCGCTTATTCATAGCACGGATGCCGAGTCCCCTGGTGCCACACAGGGACAGCTGCCACTGGGGGTGCCCTGCCAAACTTTGTTGAGATTGAGACGTAGAGAGCTCTGAGGCGGCTCGTGGTACAGGACACACAACAACAACGACGACAACAACCGCTGCCGTCCTTCACCACCAAGTGGCGGTGACGTCTCCACGACGCCTGTACCAGGCCAGGTGCACTTTGTGGAAGGGCTCGCTGCAGGCAGGTCACGGAACAGACCCAGGTGCCATGGGTTGACTGACTGAGATGACTGGCAGATGCGACAGTTCTCTCTCAAACACAAATCATGATCATCGTCATCACTATGTACCTGGGCCATCCTGAGTTCGGTTCCCAGCCACGGCTGCTATCTTCCCTCTTATGTCCCGTCCCTGAACACGTGGGTTTCAAAACACGCGCTGCACCAATTAACGCGTGCAAGGTCGTACCCGTGCCACCTGGTGCATGGTCGCACCCGTGCCACCAGGTGCAGTGTCGCACCCGTGCCGCCAGGTGCATGGTCGCACCCGTGCCACCAGGTGCAGTGTCGCACCCGTGCCACCAGGTGCAGTGTCGCACCCGTGCCACCAGGTGCAGTGTCGCACCCGTGCCACCAGGTGCATGGTCGCACCTGTGCCGCCAGGTGCAGTGTCGCACCCGTGCCACCAGGTGCAGGGTCGCACCCGTGCCACCAGGTGCAGGGTAAATAAAATAAAATGTTTCGCTCTGGATGACCGCTGCAAAGTATTATCTGTATTTTGATTTAGCGTGCTGATCTTAAGGATGCATTGAAAAATTTGATACTCCGACTGATGCTCCTGTTGTTGTGGAGTGACTCATGCAGCCAGCTATGGCTCTAGGGTTTGGTGTTACATGTTATTTATGTACTTTATTGTTAAAAATTCGGTTACAGTCCCTATGATCACTGTTACGTTGCATTTATGGATTTATTTTGGTTATTTCGAAAACGTGTTTTGGTTTGGCCATGTTTGTTTGTTGTAGTACCGAGTTAGACTGATGGCCTTAATCTAAGTTGTCTTGTGGTGGTTGTTGTTTGACTTGCATCCCACTGGGATTTTTGCACACAGCGTTGGTGTACGGTGCTATTTCAGGAATATTTTGATTGTTTTTTCCCTGGATTTTCTGTTTGCACAGTCACATAGTCACTTTAAGATGTTTTCTTGTTCATGTTTTTGTTTTTTGTTTGTTGTGGTTGCACACGATTCAACAGCCGAATGGCTCACAGGGCTCTACCAAATAAATGGAACTATTAACTATGAACCAGTTGCAGGGTCGCACCCGTGCCACCAGGTGCATGGTCGCACCCGTGCCACCAGGTGCATGGTCGCACCAGTGCCACCAGGTGCAGGGTCGCACCTGTGCCGTCAGGTGCAGTGTCGTACCCGTGCCACACCAGGTGTAGGGTCGCACCCGTGCCACCAGGTGCATGGTCGCACCCGTGCCACCAGGTGCATGGTCGCACCCGTGCCACCAGGTGCATGGTCGCACCAGTGCCACCAGGTGCAGTGTCGCACCTGTCCCACCAGGTGCAGTGTCGTACCCGTGCCGCCAGGTGCAGTGTCATACCCGTGCCACACCAGGTGTAGGGTCGCACCCGTGCCACCAGGTGCATGGTCGCACCAGTGCCACCAGGTGCAGTGTCGTACCCGTGCCACACCAGGTGTAGGGTCGCACCCGTGCCACCAGGTGCAGTGTCGCACCCGTGCCGCCAGGTGTAGGGTCGCACCCGTGCCACCAGGTGCAGTGTCGCACCCGTGCCGCCAGGTGCAGTGTCGCACCTGTGCCGCCAGGTGCAGTGTCGTACCCGTGCCACACCAGGTGTAGGGTCGCACCCGTGCCACCAGGTGCATGGTCGCACCCGTGCCACCAGGTGCATGGTCGCACCCGTGCCACTAGGTGCATGGTCGCACCAGTGCCACCAGGTGTAGGGTCGCACCTGTCCCACCAGGTGCAGGGTCGCACCCGTGCCGCCAGGTGCAGTGTCGTACCCGTGCCGCCAGGTGCAGTGTCGCACCTGTGCCACCAGGTGCAGTGTCGTACCCGTGCCGCCAGGTGCAGTGTCGCACCTGTGCCACCAGGTGCAGTGTCGCACCCGTGCCGCCAGGTGCAGTGTCGCACCTGTGCCGCCAGGTGCAGTGTCGCACCCGTGCCGCCAGGTGTAGGGTCGCACCTGTGCCGCCAGGTGTAGGGTCGTACCCGTGCCGCCAGGTGTAGGGTCGCACCTGTGCCACCAGGTGGCCCTGTAACTACACGCAGCTGTGGTCCAAGGCCCCATGATCCACGCATTCTTTCACCAGCAGGCGAAGGCAGTCGTCGTGCGGCATGGAGAGACCGTGCGTGTCGCTCCATCACTTCCTTACGATCCCCCCTCCCACCTTCCCCCCCCACCTTTGCTGCCTCCCACACCGGCCTCTCGCCCACACCTCCTCTCGTAATCGCCGTGCGCCGTGCCCGGTCGATGAGGGTGGTTAGAAGGAGGACGAGAGAGAGAGAGGGAGAGGTTTGAAGGACGAAACTTTTTTATAAATTGGCCTCCCCCCCACCCCGTTCCCGACAGCAAGCTGCGTGTGCTGGTCGATGATCATCGCCGAGCCACTTCAGATCGAGCTCTCGCGGACCTGTGCCTACCAGGCAGGGGACATCACTCACCCCAGAGGTATGTTACACGGCTGGTGGTGGACCACCCGTCCACTTGCGATGCAGAGGGTCGCCGCGTCGATTCTCGTTCTCCCGGCGCGGCAGTCAAACTGTGCGAACAAATGCAGGGCCGCACGCGCGCGCCTTTAACTTTTAACACCAACAACACAAACTCGGCAGATTCCAATTACTTAATCTGATATACAGTAGGGGGGCCTGGTAAAGGCCCTTCTTTATAGCACATCGAGACGGCTTACATAGCTTTAAACTAAAGCACGTGATGATCCATGCATAGCTCTGAATCCCCACTCATGATTCTAACACCCTTCTTCATTGCTGCTCAGCAGCTGATGGAACCTCCCACGGTTCTGTACCCTGCAGACCGCTTTTAGCCACTGAACGAGTTGTTTAGAGAAGACTGTTGGGGGACATCACGATAAATGTGTTCTCTGTAAGGTGCCTGTTGCAGCATTTAACTCTTTAGCAGCGTGTACTCTGTCTATATATACACACACACACTCGGGCGACTTGGGGATCAGGCCTTCATCCTGCAGTGGACTGACCTTGGCCGATGATCACGATATATGTGCAGTCCGTGAGCAAGTCTGTGCCTGCTGCACTTTAAACACATTCTTTAATCAGTGCCGTGACCACGCAAACCGAAACCGAGCGACTGGGTCCAAACTTTCAGGAACTACGAGCGTGTTTGTGCCTGAGCGATGGGTTTCACTTCGCCCGTCACCCCTTCCAGGGTCTGTAACATCAGAATATTTATTGATGCTTGGAGGAATCGGATGAGCTATAAAGCTCTTTTTCACAGACGTCCACTCTGGGAAGCAAGTCAATGGCGGCCATCTTACGGATATACAGACCCCCGCCACATGAACGTGGGCATTGTGTTAGAAAGTAAGAACACCGTTGTCTGTTGGACGACACTTCTATGCTGCCACTAATCTGCTTTTACCAACCCGGACTGACCACGACGTGGGGAGACCAACGTCCAGCAGTGGAGTGACGCGACATGCTGCACGTGTCGTGTCGTACATGGTAACAACAATACGGCTGTGAACGATTCACGTAACTAGTTTAGTAGCTTACGGTGGCCAGTAGATGGCAGTTCGGCAATGGATTTCCGAGTCTATCTGTGCGGCGCTTTGAAGTGTTATCCCGGCTGTCATCCCACAAGAAGTCAACCAATCAAGTCTGGGCTCGGCTAAACATTCCCCGGTGTCACGTGACCATCCTTATCGAGGCGTGCTTGAGACTCGGTAAAGGCTTTTGGGAGTTAAAAGCACGACTACCGTATTATTATCATTACCACTGTCCTGATATTTACAAAATAACTACTGAATGGTCCGTCTTGGGTTTCATTATCAAAGTGCGGTTACTGTCCACTGCTGTTGTCGTTCCACGCGGTTTAGTTGTTGTATTCTTGTTTTACAAGTCCTGGGTGCTGTGTTACATTCCACTATGCCACTGGGATTGTGCTATAGCAGGGGCCTGGTGAGTGTGTGGGTGATTGGTGAGTCTCCTCTGAGTGGCCCAGCGTCTGCTGAGTGATGACTTATCACGAGCGTGTGGTGAGTCGTGATGCTCATGTACGTCGTGTAAAGGTGAGCGGTGAGTGCCTGGTGAGTGTTTTATGATGGTCCGGTGAGTGGGATGGTGTCTGGTCAGTATCTTGCCGTCAGGTGAGTGTCCAATGAGCGTCTGAGTGTCGCGTAGCCATCGCTGTGTGGCAAGCTACGTACACAGCAGCGACACGCACCGGCAATCAACGACACGCACCTGCAATCAGAGACACGCACCTGCAATCAGCGACACGCACCTGCAATCAGAGACACGCACCTGCAATCAGAGACACGCACCTGCAATCAGCGACACGCACCTGCAATCAGAGACACGTACCGGCAATCAGAGACACGCACCTGCAATCAGCGACACGCACCTGCAATCAGACACGGACCGGCAATCAGAGACACGCACCTGCAATCAGAGACACGCACCTGCAATCAGCGACACGCACCTGCAATCAGCGACACGCACCTGCAATCAGAGACACGCACCTGCAATCAGAGACACGCACCTGCAATCAGAGACACATACCGGCAATCAGAGACACGCACCTGCAATCAGCGACACGCACCTGCAATCAGACACGGACCGGCAATCAGAGACACGCACCTGCAATCAGAGACACGCACCTGCAATCAGCGACACGCACCTGCAATCAGCGACACGCACCGGCAATCAGAGACACGCACCTGCAATCAGAGACACGGACCTGCAATCAGCGACACGCATCTGCAATCAGAGACACGTACCGGCAATCAGCGACACGCACCTGCAATCAGCGACACGCACCGGCAATCAGAGACACGCACCTGCAATCAGCGACACGCACCTGCAATCAGCGACACGCACCTGCAATCAGAGACACGCACCTGCAATCAGAGACACGCACCGGCAATCAGCGACACGCACCTGCAATCAGAGACACGCACCTGCAATCAGCGACACGCACCTGCAATCAGAGACACGCACCTGCAATCAGAGACACGCACCTGCAATCAGCGACACGCACCTGCAATCAGAGACACGCACCTGCAATCAGAGACACGCACCTGCAATCAGAGACACGCACCTGCAATCAGAGACACGCACCTGCAATCAGCGACACGCACCTGCAATCAGAGACACGCACCTGCAATCAGCGACACGCACCTGCAATCAGAGACACGCACCTGCAATCAGCGACACACACCTGCAATCAGCGACACGCACCTGCAATCAGAGACACGCACCTGCGATCAGAGACACGCACCTGCGATCAGAGACACGCACCTGCAATCAGCGACACGCACCTGCAATCAGAGACACGCACCTGCAATCAGAGACACGCACCTGCAATCAGAGACACGCACCTGCAATCAGAGACACGCACCTGCAATCAGAGACACGCACCTGTAATCAGAGACACGCACCGGCAATCAGAGATGGAGGCTGCGAGACGCGTGGACACGCAGGGGCAGCGAGCCGGTGACAGACGGTGCAGCAAGTAGGTTGCGCGGTTGCGCCTGACGTTCTGCCTGCAAGCCAGAGTTGGTGGAGTGATTCTCTCGTGTGGCGGCTTCCCTGTCATTCAGAAGTGCCCCGTCTTGATGGGTGGGTAAAACGAAACGAAACTATTTTATTTTAAATTTCACCAGGTAAGGTCCACTGAGCTAAGGAGCTCTTTCGGAAGCGACCTGGCCACAAGTGATTGCTCAACAAAGTGGCTTAACGCGTGTGAATGTGTAGCGGCCGTATACTGTACTCGAAACGCACGTTTCTCAATGTGGAGGGACAAACCGGAGAACCCGGGTAGGAGAGAGGAATGCAGAGAGACGTGGGAATGGACAGAGTGATGGAGAGATACATTAACAGACACAGAGAATGACATGAAGAGGGTCGAGCACAAACTCACGGGAACGCACAAACACAAAAAAACAAACACAAAGATCCCCCGAATAGCCTTAGCAGACTGCTGGGGCAGGTGCTGTTAGCGAGCACCTGTGAAGGCCGGCACGGCACACGAGGGGGGTCGTTGGCCAGCACCACGCCCGGCCGCCTTTGTCTCCCCAGTGGTGATGTTTTCACACCGCACTCGGTACTGATTTAAGGCTGAGCCGACCTAGGGGAGGCCCAGGACCGGTTCAGCTTATCGTCACTGGTGTTGGTGGCCGTGAGCGGAAATCGAACTCGGGTCGCTGGGTTCGTAGCGCAGCATAAGCGCCAATCGCTACCCTACCGCTCCCCACGACACGGACACACACAGAGGTACAGAGACACAGAGAAACAGAGACACACAGAGAGACAGAGACACACGGGCGGAAGAGTCCCATCGCAGAGAAAGACAAACACAGAGACATGGAAAGAGAGATGAGCAGAACATGGCAACATAAACGGGAAAAAGATGCACAGAGGACATGAAGAGAGACACACCGATCAATTTTGGGGGGCACCTAAATACATTGTGGGGGGGGGAGGGGGAGGAGGGGTGCCCTTGGCACATCCTTCTGCTGCCACTCGGTTGACAAAGGTAACACAGTCTTAAAAGTGCGCTCAGCAAGTGCGGTGGGGAGCACGCTTGGATTTTCCCACAGGGAGAGAGAGCAAAGGGAGCACATGGATCAGGAAACAAGCTCGATTCAGAGACGTCATATTGATCATGAATAAATGTAAATGGACTTGGGCAGGATGCATCATTGGTAGATGGTATGATGGCCAATATACGAGGCTGGTGATGGAATGGCAGTCCAAGGAGAGACCGCGCCACGGGGATGGTGCGGTGAAATGAGATCGTGTGCAGGAGTGAGATTGACGCTAACGGCGCTGGCCTGCGAGGGACGGGGAGGCCTTGGGTCCAGCAGTGGATAGCCCGTGGCTGATGACGATCACGACGGCGGTGAGCCATGCCAGCTCTTTTGCAAGCGGGAAGGGATATTTTGGGAGCGGTTGCGTCGCCTTCAAAAGAGGGCCCCCTCTTGTTTGTGAGGCGTTCCCCGTCGTGTTCGTCACTCGCGGTGCGTGTCACGGCCTTAGCTCATTTCTTCCCGCGATGTGGCCCATCACGGGAGTGGTTCATCACAGCCGCGGAGCTCCGTGTGGCTTTAATCAGAGGAACGTGGACCGACAGCGGTGACCTTTTGACCCTGCATTGTTTTTCCTGGCGCGGCCCTCCCCGAAAACTTTATTACCCTGGAGTTGTTTTTATATTATTATTTGTACTGCACTGTACTACTCGGTTAACTTGTCCATTCATCAGAAAGCTCGACTGCAGTATAGCACAAAGTTATCAGTTTACATTCTGGTCATGATTCAACTCGGCCTATCAGGGTTAGATCGCATTATTTATAAATGTGTCGTAACCCTCCACCACCCGACATGGCCAATCAGCAAAATAGTGTCACGTTGACAAAAGACAAATAGTTAACTACCTTAGCCCACCGGTGTGTTGAATAGTGAATCCACAACATTTACAGTTTGCGTACGACGTTTTGCTGGTAATTACATCCAGCATCATCGGGCAATTCGCCAGAATGGTAAAGCCCTCACTTGCTCCCAGTCTTAAATAGAGCAGCAGCAGGGTGACGTCATCATTTAACTCATTCAGGTGCAGTGATTTGAGGCAGAGGGCGTATTGTAATTATATAATCGATTGATAATCAGTCAATGGTTATGGTTAGTAATGAGTCGTAGATTAGTAATTAGTTGTAATGTGTGTTATTGTGATTATATGCTACGTTAGTAATCCGTTAATTAGTTTGTGTTTCCCCTATAAGGAATTGTAACATGTATTATTTAATAATACGCTTCCAAGTCGCACTAAGCCTGTAGCTGTCAGAGCGATTAAAGTTATTTCTATTCCTCTCAGTTTCAATGGATTCTCTAATTAGTCTTTGCCAGTAATAATTAGTTTTATACAACACTTCAACGTTATCAAAATCAATTGAGTGGCCTTGTTGACAAGCATGTTCTGCCACTGCCGACAGTTGTGTTTGAGATAATTTAATATTTCTTTGATGTTCTTTTAGTCTTATGCTGATGTTACATCCCGTCTGTCCAATATAGCATCTGCCACATAAAACAGTGTCAGATGGTGAAAGTCTAGTGAGAGAGATCAAACACGTTACAGAAGCACTACAACAGAATGGCTACAATAATGCTCAAATTAACAGATCACTGAATGCCAAATCACGATCGCAAAGCAATACTGCTGAAAGCGATCAGATTGTTAAAACAATTAAAATTCCATATATCTCAGGAGTAACTGACAAATTAGCCCGTGTTTTGCAAAAGCAAAACATTACAGTAAGATTTGGGACAGTACATAAGCTTCAAAAACTAGTATCTTGCACTAAAGACGCATTGCCTAAATTATCAACAGAAGGTGTATATCGGATTAATTGTTTGTGGCAGATGCTATATTGGACAGACGGGACGTAACATCAGCATAAGACTAAAAGAACACCAAAGAAATATTAAATTATCTCAAACACAACTGTCGGCAGTGGCAGAACATGCTTGTCAACAAGGACACTCAATTGATTTTGATAACGTTGAAGTGTTGTGTAAAACTAATTATTACTGGCAAAGACTAATTAGAGAATCCATTGAAATTGAGAGGAATAGAAATAACTTTAATCGCTCTGACAGCTACAGGCTTGGTGCGGCTTGGAAGCGTATTATTAAATAATACATATTACAATTCCTTATAGGGGAACACATACTAATTAACGGATTACTAACGTAGCATATAATCACACTAATTACTAATCTACAACTCATTACTAATCATAACCATTGACTGATTACCAATCGATTATATAATTACAATACCCCCTCTGCCTCAAATCACTGCACCTGAAATGAGTTAAATGATGACCTCACCCTGCTGCTCTATTTAAGACTGGGAGCAAGCGAGGGCTTTACCATTCTGGCGAATTGCCCGATGATGCTGAATGTAATTACCAGCGAAACGTCGCACGCAAACTGTAAATGTTGTCGATTCACTCTTCAACACACCGGTGGGCTAAAGTAGTGAACTATTAGTCTTTTGTCAACGTGACACTATTTTGCTGATTGGCCGTGTCGGGTGGTGGAGGGTTACGACACATTTATAAATAACGTGATCTAACCCAAAAACCTTTATTATGAATAATATTGGTCGCGAAAGCCTACGTGTTAAATCGGCCTATGAGCTCTTCCACAGTCGGTAAAAAAGACGCAGCTGCCACTACTCATTCCTGGTGTTGTCCTGTGGAGAATCAGAATATTTCAGTATCAGAAAAGGTATTAATACTGGAGGAATTTGATGACCTATGAAGCTCTTTTTCACAGATGTTCAGTAGGGGTGGATAAGAACATTAAAACAAACAGTACAAAAACATGATAGTAGTGAAGAACCGTCTCTCCACTATGGAGAGACGGAGAGACGGGTATTCACCATAGGAATATGGAATTTCCACCATTGGAGACGAGTGGCGCACCACGTTTATTTAGGCTGTCCGAGAGCCCACTTTTATCGGAGAGGCACTTTGTGGTTGAATTTAAGGGCCCTATAAACACGCCCAGGTGACTGGTACTAGGAGGTCCGCTTCAGGATTGTTGCACAATTTCAATGTTTCTCTTGAGTCACGTCAAAGTTGGCTCGGAGTTCATCGCACGGGGACTACGAAACGGGGCACAGGGAGGTGGCTGGACGTTCGGAGAGACTGAGTCAACCACCGCTGGGAAGTTTGGTTCGAATCCGGGCCTTACTCCCTCGCAAGCGCGATTAAACCGCGCTCTCAAGCGTGGTGAATGGACGGCCTCGGCCCAGTCACCGTCGTCTGCATGGCAACTCCACGTCATGCTCAAGTGGATGTCTCGCCGAGGTTGCTTTGATTGGACACGAGATGAACGATCTTTGCAGGGGCAACAATGCAAGTTTTGTGCCCTTAAGAATACAAAAGAATCACGTTTCGATCACAACACAAGTGGTCGTCTTCAGGCGGAAAAAAAATAATCCAGCAGTGAAACTGCTTATTTTTCTACCTACATGACTTTACCGTAAGAACCACGAAAGCTTCAAATCAAGAATAATTTTTTTTTGTTTCCAGGAGATCTATCTGAGGAGAGTGAGGGTGCCCACCAAATCTTTACCCACGTTGCCAACTTTCACCAGTTAAAGTTCTTCAATAGATTCTGCACTCAGGAGCGGCATATAGCATCCAAGCTGTCCCTAGTCTTGAGCCTGCTTAGCTTTGTGGTTCCTGAGCAGCAGAGGGTAGTGCAGCAGCAGCAGCAGCAACATCCACCGTTGTACTTTACTGCTATGATCCTACTGCTGTGCCCCCTGCCTTCACCTGCAGTCCTACACCAACGCACACTGACCAGGGTGGTGAAGTATGGCCAAATAAAACCTGCACAGAATGGAAGGGGGGGGGGGGGGTTTCCTCATCCAGCAGTGGATTGACAGGGGAAGCTGCACGTAAACATTTAGTTGATGACTACAAGTGGAATGCGATCAGTCGCTTTGTTTAGCGTGACTTTCGCTGACTTGCTTTGATCATTTTTCGTGTCGAGCTTCCCGCGTAGGAAGGAGGCCCCCCCCCCCTCTGTGTGTGTTGGGCTGTGTACGGCCGGAAGGGCGACTTTGGCACTTGCTTGTTGACACAGCTCTCCCCCCCCCTTACAAAGGAGGCGTCTCCACTCATCGCGGCTCTCGCCCTGGGCACACTCGTGGCAAGCGGCCCGCCCGGCAGTCGACCGCCTCCCGCCGACCTCTCCGAGAGAGTGCGCGTGACACGGTAACTACGCGACCGTGTGAAGAAGGTGTGAGCAGGTGAGAACCGATGGCTGTCGGAAGCGATGAAAACAGACGACTCGTGCTGCATCGTCACCCCCAAGTGGGGGTTTTATAGCGATGATCTGCTTGTGTTTTGCACAAGGATTGTACTGACTGAACAGGCTGTTTGGGGGCAAGTGCTGTTAACGAGCACCTATGAAGGCCGGCACGGCACACGAGGGGGTGGGTGGCCAGTACCACGCCCGGCCGCTTTTGTCTCACCAGTGGCGATGTTTACACATCGCACCGGGAACTCATTTGAGGCTGAGTCGACCTAGGGGAGGCCCAGGACCGGTTTAAATAATCGTTACTGGTGTTGGCCGTGAGCGGGAATCGAACTCGGGTTGCCAGGTTCGTAGCGCAGCGTAGCGCTAACCACTACACTACCGCTCCCCACTACACAGACACACACACAGACACACGCACAGACACACGCACAGACACACACGCACAGACACACGCGCACAGACACACGCACACAGAGACACACAGACACAGACAGACACGCACACAGACACGCACACAGACACGCACACAGACACACACACAGACACACGCACAGACACACACACAGACACGCACAGACAGACACAGACACACACATAGACACGCACACGCACACAGACACACGCACACAGACATACGCACACAGACACACGCACACAGACACACGCACACAGACACACACAGACACACGCACAGACACACGCACAGACACACGCACAGACACAGACACGCACAGACACAGACACGCACAGACACACGCACAGACATGCACAGACACACGCACAGACACAGAGACACACACAGACACACACAGACACGCACAGACACGCACAGACACGCACAGACACGCACAGACACACAGACACACGCACAGACACAGACACGCACAGACACGCACAGACACACGCACAGACACACGCACAGACACATGCACAGACACAGACACGCACAGACACAGACACGCACAGACACAGACACGCACAGACACACAGACACAGAGACACGCACAGACACAGAGACACGCACAGACACGCACAGACACGCACAGACACGCACAGACACACACACAGACACACAGACACACGCACAGACACAGACACGCACAGATACACGCACAGACACGCACAGACACACAGACACACCCAGACACAGACACACGCACAGACACAGACACGCACAGATACACGCACGGACACAGACACGCACAGACACAGACACGCACAGACAGAGACACACACACAGACACACACACAGACACGCAGACACACGCACAGACACAGACACGCACAGACACACGCACAGACACAGACACGCACAGACACACGCACAGACACACGCACAGACACATGCACAGACACACACACACACAGACACACGCACACACAGACACGCACAGACACAGAGACACACACACAGACACACACAGACACAGAGACACACACACAGACACAGAGACACACACACAGACACAGAGACACACACACAGACACACATACAAAGACACACACAGACAGACACACACAGACACACACACACAGACACACAGTGAGTGGATGCAAGGCGATGCCCCCCCCAGCCCACGCGGTCGATCGGCAGGCGGAGTGGAGCGCTGGGAAAATTGCGTGCGTGTTTGTGTGTTTGTTTGCGTGTGTGTTTGTGTTTGTTTGCGTGTGTTTGTTTGCGTGTGTGTGTGTGTGGGAGGCGCATACTGTAAACCTTTTATCAGTGCCCTACCTTATTACAAATCTCAACGTTCACCCTACTACAAAGTCCCACCACAAGGGAGAAACACAAATTGACACAAACATTTTTATGTGCCCGTATTGAGACGGCAGCACGCCGTGTGGACCTGAAAACTCAGTTTCCCTCTACAAGAACACGGCCAAACCGTATGGGATTGAGAGCTATGGGAGCGCTCGTGCAGTGATTAGGCGACCCCAGTTCGATTCCCCCTCACCGCCAACACCAGCGACGATCATGTGAACCGATTCTGGGCCTCCCCTAAGTCGACTCAGCCTCAAATGTGTACCTGGTGCGGTGTGCAAACGTCACCGCTGGGGAGACAGAGGCTGCTGGGCGGGCGTGGTGCTGGCCACCCACCCCCTCGTGTGCTGTGCAGGCCTTCAGCAATAGCAGCTTCACAGTCTGGTAAAGGTTATATGGGGGATCTTTGTTGTGTGTGTGTTCTGCTGCTGACGTACCAGCTAATCGCACGCGTGGTGGGCTGGAGGGGGGGGGCTAAAACTAAAACAACCCTCGTCCGAGCGAGGTTTTACAGAGGCGACGCATCTCTGGTGAAGCACCCGGGATGAGTGTTTGTGGTAAAACGCGGAGTTTGACATCGGCGTAGTCCCCGCGGCACGCACCACGGATGTCAATCGTAAATCTTTCTGTAAAGACGCACCGCGCCGCTTGACCCAGTCAGTCTGGGGAAGGCAGCGGGGAAGGCAGCAGGCGAGGTAAAGTGCAGGTTGGTATCATTTGAAAAAAATATATATGTATGTATGTGTGTGTGCGTGTGTGCGTGTGGGTAGCGATAGTGTAGCGGTTAGCGCGCTGCGCTATGAACCTGGCGACCCGGGTTCGATTCCCGCTCACGGCCAACACCAGTGACGATTATCTGAACCGGTTCCGGGCCTCCCCTAGGTCGACTAAGCCTCAAATGAGTACCTGGTGCGGTGTGTAAACATTGCCACTAGGGAGACAAAGGCGGTCGGGCGTGGTGCTGGCCACCCACCCCCTCGTGTACCGTTACCTTGCTTCATAGGTGCTCGCTAACAGCACTTGCCCCTACAGTCTGTTAAGGCTATACGGGGGATCTTTGTCTTTGTTGAAACTTCAACACAGTAACAATGTGGATCCCTTGCGGTGCCTTCCTGCGGCCACAACTTGGGATGACGCTGTAGAGACAACGTGCCGGTGTTTTATAGAGCGAGGGAGTGAGAGAGGCCGCTAGTCATAGGCGGAGGAGGCCTGGGACCAGCCCGTGAACATGGCGGGCGGGGGGGGGGGAGTTGACAGCACGGGTGGCTGGAGGAAGCGAGACTGTGGGGGTAGCAGAGGAGAATAAGCGACCCTCCCCACCAAGCACAGGTTTGACGGTGGGGGGGGCTTCGACAGAAAATCCATTCGTGAAAGTATATTGGAAAGAGACACAAAGCCTGTCACTCCGCGTCGAGTGACACGTTTTTGCTGTCCATCGACTGCGGTCGCCAGCTTTGAAACTCAACAAGGTTGTGCGTAAATGTTACGTGCAAAAAGCGCCGTTACTTCGGAGTCTACCCATTTTGGAAAATTTGCTTTTCGGAACGTCGGCGTCATATCGCAGGAACGGAACGATTTGACGCCGTCGACAATAATAGCGCTGTGAGGAGACCGGTCTGAGACGAGCGCTGCTCAAACGACAGTGGTTACATAGCAGCGGCCCTAACCCGACTACCGGCCCACGTAAGCCTGGCGCAGTTCACCTGCTTGAACGATTAATACTTCAAAACATTGGTCCGGAAGGCGAATAGGCTGATGGGTGGAAATAAACTCTTTATTTGAAATGGACTTGACTCCCTGTAGGAGAAATTTACTTCCTGTCTGTTTGTTATTCATAATCCACGATGTTCCACCACGGCGCACAGCGAGCCTCATTGATCGCTCGCTCAATCCGCTGATGTGAAATCTCCTCCTCTGTTGCAGATATATTCCGTGACGTCCTCTGCCTAAACGCGCTTCGTTGAGTGACGCTCGGAGGAACTGATTTTGCGCTCGGAGCATCCGACGTTTCCTGCCGTCACACAGTCTTTAACTTCACCTGCCCAGCTTTGGTAACCCCCCACGGACTGCAAATAGTCTCTGGAGAACTGCAGCGGGAATCGAAACTGTGGGACAACGTTGGAGCCCTGTGACCACCGACGCCACTCGGCACGCACCCCTCTCCCCTCCTCCCGTCGTCCACCAACGCTCGCCACCCACCCCACCCACACATCCACCACCCACTCATTGACCCACCGACCCACCGACCCACCGACCGACCCACATGGAGCCGAGGAGCGGTCCTCCGCACGGCCACAACAACCGCCGTGCGGAGCCCGGCGAGGAGCTGGCAGGCCGGCTCGAGCGCTGCAGCATCACCTCGTCGCTCTCGTCGCCATCGTCACCCACGTCACCCTCGTCGCCCCCCGGTGGCTCCGGAGCCAGTGACGATGGCGGCGGCGGAGAAGAGCGCAGCGGCAGGGTGGCGCTGAGCGCCTTCGGCGAGGTGTGCACGCGCCGGACGGGCAGCCAGCAGATGATCCCCAAGTCGCTCGCGACCGCCACCGCCGCCGTCGCCACGGCCGCCAAGAAGGGGAGGTCGGCCTCCTCCGCGTCGGCCTTCTCCAAGAAGGGGGTGCCCGCGCTCAAACCGCTCGTCCCGAGGGGCCACAGGGCCACGGTGGCAGTGCAGTTTCCGGTGAACCCCGGCGGGTCGGCAACGGGGTGGACGGGACAGGCGGGATGCGTGGGGCAGGCCGGGCAGGCGGGGCAGGCGGGGCACGCGGGCTCCGGCAACGGCCGGGTTGCGGGCGGCGTGAGGGATAGGAGGGAGGAGGTGGTGGTGGTGGAGCGGGACAGGGACGACGATCACGGGGAGCACGACGAGCCCGAGGAGGAGTGGGAGGGGAAGCGCGACGCGGGAGGCGACCACGACGACGACGACGGGTTTGGGCCGGGGCTGTCGCGGGGGCTGCGCGCTCAGTCGTACCGCCGCGCCGTCGACTTCAGCGACGTGATCGAGGGCCGCGGCTGCCGCGGCGGCGGCAGGCCCGGCGGCAAGGGTCCGCTCGAGGCCCTGTCCGAGGAGGAGCCGCCGGCCGCCGCGACGGCGGCCACGGTGGCGACGACCAAAACCCGCGGCAAGGTCAAGGTGAGAGGCCGAGGGGCAGCGTTGATGCGGGACGTGAGAGGGTTACGTGGCTGCCGTCAGTCTTTACCGTCGGTCATCGTCCCTTCTGGCCTTCTAGCCGAGCCCTGCCCAAGCCCCCGCTCGCTAACAGTGTTGTCTTCGACCCGTGCCTGTAGAATTAATTCGTATGTCCCTCTTGCTCTCAACGTCATCGCGAGCATGTGTCCGGAACCTCCGATTACCGCGGTTGGTTACGTACGGTGCGAAAGAAGTTCAACATTCGTGCATGCAACCGGTTTTGAATTTGCGACCGACCGGCGATCGGTCGCTCGTTAGCAGCCTCGCTCCTGCGCGGGTGGCGCCTGGCGGGCGTCCGTGCCACCAGCCCACTCATCGCGGCTCCGTCGTGCCATCCTGCCCTGTGCCACAGGGATTCCAGATCATGGACCGACCCCTGAGGAGGAGAAACACCTTCGACAAGAGTAAGCGACTTTCCCTTTCATTCATTCATCGTGCCTCACCGGTCACGCACTCGCACGCACGCAAGTCGATGTTGGTGCTGTGACTGTGTTGGTGGCAGTAGCGGGGACATCGTAACCGAGCCGAGGGTATAGGCGCGCCACGCGAACATCTGATGAGCCGTAAGTATTTGAACTGAAAGTGAATTGGAATGCTCAGAGTGGTCAGCGTGGGAGTGATGCCCTCTGTTGCACATCACCAAGTCCTGCACCTCATTACTGATCCTCGCTGCTGTGGTTGTTGAGGATGATACATTGCGGTTGTGTAGGCGTGAGTGTTAATTGTACCTGATGTGACGTGATGATTATGATGGTATCGTTTATGGTTCTGTTGAATGTTACGAGAAGATAATTGGTTGCTGTGCAACGGAAAATAAGAGACAGCTGTGAGGTTTGTGCTTTTCTCTCAGTCCTGCACTCGGAGCACCAGAGTTTTCTGCATTTTCCTAACGTAATAATAATATGCCAAGGTAATATGTAGTGTGAGGTTGTTTTTTATTTATTTTCTAGGATTAAAAAGAATACTCTGGTGGGAGGTTGCATTAATATGAGCACAGATTGAAAAGTTAGGGCAATTTAGCCGTGCTCATTCTTCTGTGTCTCACCACCTCTTCGCAGTCTCAACTCGATGTTGATTTGTTCGACGGGAAATCGCCTGGAGCCGGTTACCCAGCTAGTTTCGGTGGCAACGGCCCCGCAGCAGCCAATACCCACGGTGAATATTGGGGTAGAAAGGAGCCCAAGCCAGCAGCCAGCCAGGAAATTCGAGGCATAGATTATTTTTGATAGTCGTAATGATTGGTGAGTTCTGCCCCATAGGGCTTTGATGAATTGTCGTGCTTGAGGGGTCGCGATTCGACTCGATGGCACGCGCTTCCCACCGTCCCGTTTAGTACCGCCTAAGTGGGTACCGTCCGTCTCGTTCGCTCCCTCTTACTTGTACCGCGGCGTCCACGGCGGTGTTCCGAGTGTCATCGTTCCGTGTCGTTTCTACAAATCGTACGGGGATCGACGCCTTCGCGATGCGCGCTCTGACGCGCCGTGTATCGCGAGCGAGAGAATCGTTACACGCGTGCTCTTGGTAGCCGCGATGTCGGCGTCTGTCTTTTATTGTTGGCGTTGCCGGCATTGATGTGGACGCCGTCTTGAATGTTGCGTCGTGCAGCGCAGCGTGATCTCGCCGTCAAAAAGTCACACACTGCCAGCAGCAGCAGCAGCAACAGCCGCGGTCTTACTTTGTGCACCCCATGCCGTACTTTTTAAGAACGCGCTGTGAAATATAATTATTGTGGGGACAAAAAACCCCGAGCATTGACACATTGTAGCCAGAGGGTCTGGCCCGGCAGTAGAACCAGATAATCAAGGCAGGCCTCTGCTTGCACAGCGAACAACACAAGCAACACACTAACAGGGCTGGATGCACGCACACTCACGTGCACGCCCAGTCACTGTACAGCGACGCACACGCATTCGCACACGCACGCATTCGCACACGCACGCATTCGCACACGCACGCATTCGCACACGCACGCATTCGCACACGCACGCATTCGCACACGCACGCACACACACACTCATACAACACACCAACATGGCCACGCACAAACACGCACATTGGTGCGCACGTGCGCACACACAAAATCGATGCATGCACACGCGTTCACACGCGCACTCACGCAGTCGTGTAGACAATCACACAAAGACAAAGATCCCCCTAGAACATTAACAGGCTGTTGGGTGAAGTGCTGTTAGCGAGCATCTACAAATGCCAAAGCGGCAAACAAGGGGGTGAGTGGCCAGCACCACGTCTGGCCGCCTTTGTCTCCCCAGTGCTGATTTTACACAACCCAACCAGGTCGTCAATTAAGGCCGAGTCGACCTAGGGGAGGCCACGGGGGACCTGTTCAGATGTTGGTCACCGGCGTTTGCCGTGAGCGGGAATCGACCTCGGGACGCCGGAATCGTGACCCACTGCCCCAACCACCACACCACCACTCCCCACTGGGCAATACGTAACCCCTCACACACACACAGACACATACACACACACACAGACACATACACACACAGACACATACACACACAGACACATACACACACACAGACACATACACACACAGACACCACACCACCGCTCCCCACTGGACAATACGTAACCCCTCATACCCCTCACACACACACAGACACAGACACACACACACAGACACATACACACACACAGACACACACACACACAGACACCACACTACCGCTCCCCACTGGGCAATACGTAACCCCTCATACCCCTCACACACACACAGACACACACACACACAGACACCACACGTGGACGAGAGACGGGCACCAGAGGTTACAAATACCCCCCCCGCCCCCCCGTTGCGTGTCTCGTACCTGCGCTGCTGCCGCCGCCGCTAAAGTGTGCGGCACAAAATCGGCATCCCGGAACACGAACGAAACATGGACTGCCGAGTGTCAAGGTGATTAGCCCACGAGTGTCAAGGTGATTAGCCCACGAGTGTCAAGGTGGTTAGCCCACGAGTGTCAAGGTGATTAGCCCACGAGTGTCAAGGTGGTTAGCCCACGAGTGTCAAGGTGATTAACCCACGAGTGTCAAGGTGATTAGCCCACGAGTGTCAAGGTGATTAGCCCACGAGTGTCAAGGTGATTAGCCCACGAGTGTCAAGGTGGTTAGCCCACGAGTGTCAAGGTGATTAGCCCACCAGTGTCAAGGTGATTAGCCCACGAGTGTCAAGGTGATTAGCCCACGAGTGTCAAGGTGGTTAACCCACGAGTGTCAAGGTGATTGGCCCACCAGTGTCAAGGTGATTAGCCCATGAGTGTCAAGGTGATTAGCCCACGAGTGTCAAGGTGATTAGCCCACGAGTGTCAAGGTGATTAGCCCACGAGTGTCAAGGTGGTTAGCCCACGAGTGTCAAGGTGATTGGCCCACCAGTGTCAAGGTGATTAGCCCACGAGTGTCAAGGTGATTAGCCCACGAGTGTCAAGGTGGTTAACCCACGAGTGTCAAGGTGATTAGCCCACGAGTGTCAAGGTGATTAGCCCACGAGTGTCAAGGTGATTAGCCCACGAGTGTCAAGGTGATTAGCCCACGAGTGTCAAGGTGATTAGCCCACGAGTGTCAAGGTGATTAGCCCACGAGCGTCAAGGTGATTAACCCACTAGTGTCAAGGTGATTAGCCCACGAGTGTCAAGGTGATTAGCCCACGAGTGTCAAGGTGATTAGCCCACGAGCGTCAAGGTGATTAGCCCACGAGTGTCAAGGTGATTAGCCCACGAGCGTCAAGGTGATTAACCCACGAGTGTCAAGGTGATTAGCTCACGAGTGTCAAGGTGATTAGCCCACGAGTGTCAAGGTGATTAGCCCACGAGCGTCAAGGTGATTAGCCCACGAGTGTCAAGGTGATTAGCTCACCAGTGTCAAGGTGATTAGCCCACGAGTAGCAAGGTGATTAGCCCACGAGTGTCAAGGTGATTAGCCCACCAGTGTTAAGGTGATTAACCCACTAGTGTCAAGGTGATTAGCCGACGAGTGTCAAGGTGATTAGCCCACCAGTGTCAAGGTGATTAACCCACGAGTGTCAAGGTGATTAGCCCACGAGTGTCAAGGTGATTAACCCACGAGTGTCAAGGTGATTAGCCCATGAGTGTCAAGGTGATTAGCCCACGAGTGTCAAGGTGATTAGCCCACGAGCGTCAAGGTGATTAGTCGACGAGTGTCAAGGTGATTAGACCACCAGTGTCAAGGTGATTAGCCCACGAATGTCAAGGTGATTAGCCCACGAGTGTCAAGGTGATTAGCCCACGAGTGTCAAGGTGATTAGCCCATGAGTGTCAAGGTGATTAGCCCACGAGTGTCAAGGTGATTAGCCCACCAGTGTCAAGGTGATTAACCCATGAGTGTCAAGGTGATTAGCCCGCGAGTGTCAAGGTGATTAGCCCACCAGTGTCAAGGTGATTAACCCACGAGTGTCAAGGTGATTAGCCCACGAGTGTCAAGGTGATTAGCCCACGAGTGTCAAGGTGATTAGCCCACGAGTGTCAAGGTGATTAGCCCACGAGTGTCAAGGTGATTAGCCCACGAGTGTCAAGGTGATTAGCCCACGAGTGTCAAGGTGATTAGCCCACGAGCGTCAAGGTGATTAGCCCACGAGCGTCAAGGTGATTAACCCACGAGCGTCAAGGTGATTAACCCACGAGTGTCAAGGTGATTAGCCCACGAGTGTCAAGGTGATTAGCCCACGAGCGTCAAGGTGATTAACCCACGAGCGTCAAGGTGATTAGCCCACGAGTGTCAAGGTGATTAGCCCACGAGTGTCAAGGTGATTAGCCCACGAGTGTCAAGGTGATTAGCCCACGAGCGTCAAGGTGATTAGCCCACGAGCGTCAAGGTGATTAGACCACCAGTGTCAAGGTGATTAGCCCACGAGTGTCAAGGTGATTAGCCCATGAGTGTCAAGGTGATTAGCCCACGAGTGTCAAGGTGATTAACCCACGAGTGTCAAGGTGATTAGCCCACGAGTGTCAAGGTGATTAGCCCACGAGTGTCAAGGTGATTAGTCCACGAGTGTCAAGATGATTAACCCACGAGTGTCAAGGTGATTAGCCCACGAGTGTCAAGGTGATTAGCCCACGAGCGTCAAGGTGATTAGCCCACTAGTGTCAAGGTGATTAACCCACGATTGTCAAGGTGATTAGCCCACGAGTGTCAAGGTGATTAGCCCACGAGTGTCAAGGTGATTAGCCCACCAGTGTCAAGGTGATTAACCCACGAGTGTCAAGGTGATTAGCCCACGAGCGTCAAGGTGATTAGCCCACGAGCGTCAAGGTGATTAGACCACCAGTGTCAAGGTGATTAGCCCACGAGTGTCAAGGTGATTAGCCCATGAGTGTCAAGGTGATTAGCCCACGAGTGTCAAGGTGATTAACCCACGAGTGTCAAGGTGATTAGCCCACGAGTGTCAAGGTGATTAGCCCACGAGTGTCAAGGTGATTAGCCCACGAGTGTCAAGATGATTAACCCACGAGTGTCAAGGTGATTAGCCCACGAGTGTCAAGGTGATTAGCCCACGAGCGTCAAGGTGATTAGCCCACTAGTGTCAAGGTGATTAACCCACGAGTGTCAAGGTGATTAGCCCACGAGTGTCAAGGTGATTAGCCCACGAGTGTCAAGGTGATTAGCCCACCAGTGTCAAGGTGATTAACCCACGAGTGTCAAGGTGATTAGCCCACGAGTGTCAAGGTGGTTAACCCACGAGTGTCAAGGTGATTATCCCACCGGTGTCAAGGTGATTAGCCCACGAGTGTCAAGGTGGTTAACCCACGAGTGTCAAGGTGATTAGCCCACGAGTGTCAAGGTGATTAGCCCACGAGTGTCAAGGTGATTAGCCCACGAGCGTCAAGGTGATTAACCCACTAGTGTCAAGGTGATTAGCCCACGAGTGTCAAGGTGATTAGCCCACGAGTGTCAAGGTGATTAGCCCACGAGCGTCAAGGTGATTAGCCCACGAGTGTCAAGGTGATTAGCCCACGAGCGTCAAGGTGATTAACCCACGAGTGTCAAGGTGATTAGCTCACAAGTGTCAAGGTGATTAGCTCACCAGTGTCAAGGTGATTAGCCCACGAGCGTCAAGGTGATTAGCCCACGAGTGTCAAGGTGATTAGCTCACCAGTGTCAAGGTGATTAGCCCACGAGTAGCAAGGTGATTAGCCCACGAGTGTCAAGGTGATTAGCCCACCAGTGTTAAGGTGATTAACCCACTAGTGTCAAGGTGATTAGCCGACGAGTGTCAAGGTGATTAGCCCACCAGTGTCAAGGTGATTAACCCACGAGTGTCAAGGTGATTAGCCCACGAGTGTCAAGGTGATTAACCCACGAGTGTCAAGGTGATTAGCCCATGAGTGTCAAGGTGATTAGCCCACGAGTGTCAAGGTGATTAGCCCACGAGCGTCAAGGTGATTAGACCACCAGTGTCAAGGTGATTAGCCCACGAGTGTCAAGGTGATTAGCCCACGAGTGTCAAGGTGATTAGCCCACGAGTGTCAAGGTGATTAGCCCATGAGTGTCAAGGTGATTAGCCCACGAGTGTCAAGGTGATTAGCCCACCAGTGTCAAGGTGATTAACCCACGAGTGTCAAGGTGATTAGCCCATGAGTGTCAAGGTGATTAGCCCGCGAGTGTCAAGGTGATTAGCCCACCAGTGTCAAGTTGATTAACCCACGAGTGTCAAGGTGATTAGCCCACGAGTGTCAAGGTGATTAGCCCACGAGTGTCAAGGTGATTAGCCCACGAGTGTCAAGGTGATTAGCCCACGAGTGTCAAGGTGATTAGCCCACGAGTGTCAAGGTGATTAGCCCACGAGCGTCAAGGTGATTAGCCCACGAGCGTCAAGGTGATTAACCCACGAGCGTCAAGGTGATTAACCCACGAGCGTCAAGGTGATTAGCCCACGAGTGTCAAGGTGATTAGCCCACGAGTGTCAAGGTGATTAGCCCACGAGCGTCAAGGTGATTAACCCACGAGCGTCAAGGTGATTAGCCCACGAGCGTCAAGGTGATTAGCCCACGAGTGTCAAGGTGATTAGCCCACGAGTGTCAAGGTGATTAGCCCACGAGCGTCAAGGTGATTAGCCCACGAGCGTCAAGGTGATTAGCCCACGAGTGTCAAGGTGATTAGCCCACGAGTGTCAAGGTGATTAGCCCATGAGTGTCAAGGTGATTAGCCCACAAGTGTCAAGGTGATTAACCCACGAGTGTCAAGGTGATTAGCCCACGAGTGTCAAGGTGATTAGCCCACGAGTGTCAAGGTGATTAGCCCACGAGTGTCAAGGTGATTAGCCCACGAGTGTCAAGGTGATTAACCCACGAGTGTCAAGGTGATTAGCCCGCGAGTGTCAAGGTGTTTAGCCCACGAGCGTCAAGGTGATTAACCCACGAGCGTCAAGGTGATTAGCCCACGAGTGTCAAGGTGATTAGCCCACGAGCGTCAAGGTGATTAACCCACGAGCGTCAAGGTGATTAGCCCACGAGTGTCAAGGTGATTAGCCCACGAGCGTCAAGGTAATTAACCCACGAGTGTCAAGGTGATTAGCCCACGCTTAACCAGGCCATGCACACCTGCGTCATTTGCCTGGACGCGTGCAGAGCGTAGGTGACGAGTGGGGGTGTGCGGGAGATCGCGAATTGGAGTGAGACAGATGAACATCGAAAGTGACAAAGTTGGAACTCTAAATGGGCATGAGCGACACGTGATTAGCGGCGGCGTTTGTTCCTAAACGAATCGTCGCTGCGCTCGCTTCACGAGTCCCGTCCCTGGCGACCGGGCGTGTTTTGCTCGTTGCGAAAGCGTGCCGCAAATATTTCTCGCGCGGCTGCCAAAGGCGGAATTTAATTTTCTCTCGGCCGAAGCCAGCTGGCAGACGGCGTCGCGAGCGAGCGACCGTGGAGAAGCGATAGTCACGAGCGTGTGCGCGCTCGTAGCGAGCGAGGGATCGTAGCTCGTGTGCGGTAGGGTTGATGCGAGCGAGCGCTTGTAGTGATTGAGCGGGCAAGTGAACGACAGTAAGGAGCGATTGATAGTGGCGATTTAGCGATAGTATAGGAGTGAGCCATAGTACAAGAGCGAGCGGAATCGGTGTCGTAGCGCCGTGTGGGTCCCAGCAGCGCGCCATGGCCGTGCCAGCGCGAGCATGAGCTCCCCGAGGGCCCCCTCGCCGCGCGTGCGGGTCGTGGCGAGGCGAGCGTCCGACTCGGCCCTGCTGGGGGGGCGGCCGAGGTCGCGACCTCGCGAGAGCTCCATCTTCAGCCTCCTGGGGTTCTCGCCGAGCCGAGGCGCCGACGGCGGCGGCGGCGGCGATGGCACCGACGGGCGAGACGGGGTCGGAGGGGCCGACGGGGAGGGGCCGCAGCAAGGCCTGGGCGACGTTCTGGGGGGCCTCTTGTCGGCGATGCAGTGGCCCAAGTGGTTGCCTTTCTCCGCAGATCCGGGCCTCTACCAGAACTTCACGGAGAAGGGGCTCTTGGTGAGCGACGCGCTGCGGGAGGATGTGGAGGCCGAAGAGGCGGAGGAGGCCACCGAGAGGAGCTTCCAGAGCGTGGGCCTGCCCCGGGCGGGGGAAGAGGAGGACGTGGAGGTGGCGGTGGCAGAACCGGAGTCGCCGGATCCCAGGATCATCATCAAACACCGGCCCTTCCGCACCACCTGGAGCCAGCTACCAGAGGTGGCGCTCACGTAGACAATTGCGACAATGACGATGACGACGATGATGACGATAAGGATGATAACGATGATGGTGAAGATGATAATGACATTTTTGCTGATGGTTTTGACGTGGTGATGGTGATGCTGATTGTCCGTGGTGATGATTGTGATGATCGGAGATAATGTTAAGAATGATTGTGATGCCAGTTATCACAGCATTGGCGATGATGACGATGTTGGTGGTAATGACAGCGATGGTTATGACGATGACAATTTGCATTGACTTTGCTGGTGACAACAGTGTGATGGTTGTGACTGATTGATGGTGATGCAAAGATACCCCTCGTAGCCTACACCGATTGTTGGGGCAAGTGCTGTTAGCGAGCGCCTGTTAAGGCCGGAACTGAGCACGGGGCAGTGTTGCGGCCACTCCTTGGCCCCCTTTGTCTCCCCGCCGCTAATGTTTACACACCGCACCGGGTACTCGTTTGAGGCTAAAGCAACCTAGGGGGAGTTCTCGGGTTCAGTCGTCACCCGCCACTGATGCGAGCTGCGGTGGACACCGAGCCTGGGTCGTGCGGTGCGCCAACCAGTGCGCCCTCACTCCCAAAACGCACGTGTGCACGCGCTCGTACACACACACACACACGCGCTTGTACACACACACACGCTCATACACACACACACGTGCTCGTACACACACACACACACGCTTGTACACACACACACATACACGCGCTCGTGCACACACACGCACGCGCTCGTACACACACACACGCTCGTACACACACACACCCGCTCGTACACACACACGCACGCGCTCGTACACACACACACGCGCTCGTACACACACACACGCTCGTACACACACACGCGCTAGTACACGCACACACGCACCACAGAGCTCCCCCGCTGCTATTTTGTTGACGCTGTAGCAACGTCTCGCAGTGCGTGTGAGAGTTCACGTGATTCCATCCCCCCCCCCCCAACCACCGCCCCCTCCCCCGTGCCCCCCTCCACCCCAATTGCTCTGCCAGGTGCGAGGCAGCTTGATTCTGCACGAGCTGACGGCCGATGAGCGCAAGAGGCAAGAGGTAAACGGGAAAAGTGAGCGCCTCCAGTGGGCGCGGGGTCATCGCTGTCGTTCACTCCTCACTCCGCAAGGGGTGGCAGGGCGGTCCAGCTCGTGTCTCACAGCGACGAGGTGGCAGGGTGATCACGCTCGTGTCTCACAGCGACGAGGTGGCAGGGTGCCTCACAGCATCTAGGGCCCTGGGCTTTCGCGACCTCTATCGTCCATGGTAGAGGTTTTAGGGTTAGATATTTATTTATTTACGAGCTCTAACCCCAACAACTTCTATTATAGGGCCCTGGGGTTCGACTCCTGACTTGGGCACCGTTCTGTGTGGAGTTTGTGTCTTCTCACCCTGGTCTGCAGAGTACGAGTGTGTCCGAGTGTGAGTGTCTGAGTGTGTCTGAGTGTGAGTGAGTATTAGTGGAGCTTAGTGACCCGAGTTCGATTCCCGCTCACGGCCAACTTCCAGTGATGATTATCTGAACCAGTCCTGGACCTCCCCTAGGTCGACTCATCCTCAAACGAGTATCTGGGGCGGTGTGTAAAAGCATCACCACTATGGAGACAAAGGCGGTTGGGCGTGGTTCTGGCCACTCACCCCCTCATGTACCGTGCCGGCCTTCACAGGGGCTCGCGAACAGCACTTGCCCCAACAGTCTTTTAAGGCTACACGGGGGATCTTTGCCTTTGTTGTGGAGTTTGTACGATCTCCCCCTGTTCTTCATTGGTTTCCTTCGTGTCCTCCACTTTGCTCCCATAGATTGAAAAAAGAAGTCACACCTTGTCACTGGCATTGGCCAAATATCTGAACGCTGAAAAAAATGACCTGCTAATGACTCCATTGGGATTACGCAGCAGTAGCAGCCCCACCATGACAGCATGGCAAGACCCTCCTGGAAACAACATCTTGAGACTCGGGGCTTTCCTGGGGTATTAAGCGTGTGCTCTTATACGTGCGCGTCCGCAGGTGATATTCGAGATCATCACCTCGGAGCACTCGTACCTGCACAGCCTGGAGGTGATGATCGGCCTCTTCAAGGAGTCGAGCGAGCTCGGGTCGACGATGAGCAAGCTGGAGCACCACCACCTCTTCTCCAACGTCACCGACATCCGCGACGTCAGCAAGCGGTGAGGCTCCCTCACCGTCGGTGGGGTTGGGAGCGGGGAGCGGTGAGGGTGAGGGGCGGGCTGACAGGCGAGGATTCGGGTGGGGGGGGGGGTGATAGCAGCGGTTCTCAAAGCCTTTCGGAGGCTGGGTGGTGGGTGAGGTGGTGGGGGTGGTGGTGGAGGCGGTGGTGGAGGCGGTGGGGGAGTTTTGGTGGGGGTCATGGGGGCCGGTGTGGGACAGTGGGGGCTGTGGGAGCTGTGGGGACGGTGGGGGCCGTGGGCAGCGGTGGGTGCGGTACAGGCTTCGGCATGGATACCGTCCAGGAGAAACTTTGCGTGTGCACGGGGAACGTCACAAACCGCACGGACACGCGACGTGACACAAGAGCCTCGCCAACGTAGCGTTGGCTACGGCATGAACACGCGTGATGTCGCCATGACGTGTGGTCTTGGTAACATGGGGGGGGGGGGGGTGTGGGGGCTGAGGAGGGGTGGGGGGGGGTGTAGGGATCGGTGGTCTTGGTCAAGGGGGGACCATCGTCCCGAAATTGAGGGCCACTGGGTTAGAGTGAGAGTGAGGGTCAGGGTTAGAGTCAGGATTAGGGTTAGCGTGAGGGTTAGGGTGAGCATGGGTTAAAGTGAGCGAGGGTTAAGTGAGAATTATGGCAATGATCAGTTGAGGAACTATCTGTGATTGAATGGAATCCTTAACATGCACTTTGGAATCCTGGGGACGCAAATGCTATCGCTCCGATCATTCCTCCTCGTACTGTATCAGCTGGCCAATCGTTAGCCCAGCCTCACCATGAGATCTAAACAGGCCGATTTTTACTGCCCGTCTCGGGTCACCGCCGTGGTCATATTGATGACACCAAGGAGGTGTGAGCAGTGCCGTCATCAACATCACCAACAGTGATCACTCCTCATGCATCGCTTGGGAGGCCTCTGGTACCTACAACCGTCCATTACGACCCTTCGAGACATCACAACTCGCCACGTTCGTCAATAGCCCTCCGCTCTCTCTCCACAAGAGCAAGCACATACTGTGCCTTACGAGTGGAAGGTCTGTTTTATTATTATTATCATCATCACAAAACGTCTTGAGACCCGGTGAAGCTATCCCAAATAAATAAGTGACAATTACAGTTTTACGTAATAAGACTTATTTTTCGGATCTTTCGGTGAAGTCACGTAGATAGGTTCAAAGAAAATAACATGAAACTACGATATTCTTAGCTCTTTCGGTAACGTCACGTGACTTTACCGAAAGAGCTAAGAATATGAATTACTGCAGTCACGAAAGCTTTAAATTATAAATGAAACTACGATGTTTCAATCGCAACACAAGCGTTCCTGATGACGACCACTCGTGTTGCGATCGAGACGTCGTCGTTTTTAGTTATTTTCTTAGAACCTATCTACGTGATTTTACCGAAAGACCCAGAGAATTTGAATTCCTGCAGTCACGAAAGCTCTAAGTCAAGTAATAAGACTTCTTCACAATTCTGGCAAATCGCCTGATGATGCTGGTTGGTGTAATCACCAGCGAAATGTCACGGTACTCAGATTGTAAATATTGTGAGTTTACTCTCCAACACACAACCCGTGTGATGTACTAGTAACGAATTGGCATGTTCTGTTTACGTGACAAACCTTACTAATTGGCTGTGTCGGGTGGTGGCGGGTTTAATGACACATTTATATATTTACGCGATCTCACCCCAGAAAAAAACTTTTGTATGGATAATATTGGTCTCGAAAGCCTCCTACGTGTTACACTACAGTTTAAACAGTTAATTAAACTCCTCATGAGGTTGTCGCTTTTATGAATTATTTCCATGCGGGGATTGGGAGCCCTGTAACCATGCGAGAGGGTGCATTGGCGCTCGAAACGTGACACCGCCTTGGAATTTGGAGTCGCGTGTCTCCCCTCCCAGTCCTGGTCCGACCGAGAGAGCGGCGTGGGGGGATGGGAGGATGCAAAAAATAGATGGCGCCTTTCACGCGGATTATCTCGGGCGATGCCGGTGTCCTTGCCCAGTGACGCGCGCCAACATCGTTACGCATTGAGGCCGAAAGACATCACGGAGGGGAAGGGTCGTCGTGCTGTGCCCATCACACGCGCCCCGAGCGTCACGGTGTTAATGTCGCGAGCAAAATTATTGACGATAACGTGATCGTCAGCCTTTACGCGTTTGCTGTTGTTATTGTGATCGACGCCGGGCGTGGGGATCGTCCAGTGCGACGGGGACGAGGACTGGCTCGAGACGATGACGACGAAGCTAACGAGTCGGAGCGAATTCATTGTTGAGCGGCGCCATTGGAGATTGTGGTGCGCTGAGGAAGACCAAACGTGCTTATCGGCTACGGTCTGCGCACTAAAGGATTTACCCAGCGGCTAACTTGAAAAACTTTTGTTGCTGACAATCAACACCGGAGCGTACATAGCAGTATCGGCACGGCCGCAAAAGTGAACGTTTGTGATGTTTAGGGTGTTACGGCTGAATGACTTACGGCCGATTGGACGTCTGCCTGTGCGTGCGTATGTCTTGTCTGTACGTGCGTGGGAATGCACACACAGACACGCATGCGTGCACATCTATGCGCTCGGGCCAAAGCTTTTCCGTGTAGCCTGCACAGGCGGTTGGGGCAAGTGGTGTTAGCGAGCACCTCGTGAGGCCGACAAAGCACACGAGGTGATGAGGGCTGGCAGCGTGACCCAGCTGCAGCGTTGTCGCGGTCTGTTGCGGAAGTTTGCGGTTCGATCCCAGCAGCCGCCCCGGTTAATACCGCGGGTGGATTAACCATTAAATACGAAGTGCCGACTGCCTCTCCCTGTGACGAGTAGGCCTCGTGCAAGGCACCTCGAGCTGGGCTATCCGATTAGGCGATGACTCGCCAACGCTGCCGATAACCGACTCGATTTGGTGACGTAAATAGTTGGGGGGAAAAAAATCTCAATGCCGTTACCACGTGCTGCTGTACGGCAGGTTACGAGTTGGGCTTAATTGGGATTGTACTGTATAGGGTAGTACAATTAGGGCACGAGGTCAGGGGTAGGGTTGTGAGTATTTGGTCGGGGTATGGTTAGGGTCAGGCAAGATAAGGGGTTAGGGGTTGTACACACAGCACCAATCGTCGCCCACTCCTGGCAAGAGACCGATGACGCCAGGGCTCTCTTGTGAACGAGAATCGTCCTGGCCTCCCGAGTTTCTAGCCTCAAACTCAACTTGAGACGGAACTTCTCAGCCGCGTCACTCGGGGCGTGGCTTGTAGGGGGTTTCCTGCCTTTGGGGAACAGCACGTGGTGGTGGCGGCAGCCATTTTTGAAGGGGCCACCTATAATGAACGTAAATGAAAGTCGTCGATTCAACTTTTGGCTCCATTAAATTAACTTCAAAGACCCACCCCATTTGTGGGCCCAGCGCCGGAGGACATCTTGGCTACACCTACCCACGTGGTCACCCCCCTCCCCCCGCGCCCCCCCCTCCCGTAGCTGCAAGCAAAGCTGTTGACGTGTAACCGGTTGGGCAGGTGAGTGGGTTGGGCAGGTGCCCTGTACCGGGCAGGGACGTCATGATTATTCTTTTACTCGATGCCGCACCGCGGGCCTGCAGCCAGTGGTGTCACGCTCGCTGAGCAGCCAAGAGTGAGCCGTGACCCCGCGATTGCCGTTCGCACTGCTGCCTCTCCCTGCAGCTCTGTGAAAAAGAGCTTTATAGCTTATTGGATTCCTCCAGTATGAATAAATATTATTACTTCAAAAAAATATTCTGTCGGCTACTGCCATCACTCCCTTCACCGCCCACTCACCATCACTGTCGTGTGTGTGTCGGTGCGTTTGTGCGTGTTTGTAGGTGCGTGTTGGTGCGTGTAGGTTTGTGCGTGTGTGTGTTTAGGTGCGTTTGTGCGTGTTTATAGCTGCGTGGACGCGTGTGTGTAGGTGGGTGCGTGTGTGTAGGTGTGTGCGTGTGAGTGTATCTGTGTGTGTGGGGAGTGGCGGTGTAGTGGTTAGCGTCACTGGCCAGCATCAGTGACGATTGTCAGAACCAGTTCTGGGCCTCCCCTGGGTCGATTCAGCTTTTAATGAGAACTTGGTGCGGTGTGTAAACATCACCACGAGGGAGACAAAAGTGGCCGGGCGTGGTGCTGGCCATCAACCCCTCGTGTGTCGTGCCAACCTTCATAGGTGCTCGCTAACAGTGCTTGCCCCCGACAGTGCATTAAGGCTGTACAGGGGATTGTCGTCTTTATGCATGTCAATATAGCTGCATCTGTAGGTGTTCACGTGTATATACGTGCGTGTGTCTGTCGTGTGTGTGCGTGCGTGCATGCGTGCTGTGCGTGTCGCAGCTTCTTCGACGAGCTGGAGGCGCGCCACCAGGACAACGTCGTCATCGAGGACATCAGCGACATCGTGGAGACGTACGCGTCGCAGTACTTCCAGCCGTACGTCACGTACTGCACCAACGAGACGTACCAGCAGCGCACGCTGCAGAAACTCTGGTGAGACTCGCACGCTCGCACGCACGCTCACTCGCTTCAAAACTCGGCAAGACTCGGTGGCTCACTCAAGGAGACTTGGTGATTGCCTGATGGGAGACTCGCTTGCACAGGGAGACTCACCTGCTCGCTCATCCGTAGCAGCCTCTCTCGCTCGTAGCAAGCTCGCTCACTCGCAACAGACTCGCTCGCTTGCTCACAACGGACTCGCTCGCTCACTGCGCACTCGCTGCAAGCACTCTTGCCACTCACAAATGACATGCGCGCGAGTCGGCCACGCTCGATGAACAGCTAACGTCTTTTGTTTTATGGCTGCAGACTTTTTTAAATTCTAATTTTTTTTTTTATACTCAAGAGGAAGCGCTGTCCCGTTGTCGCCCCCAGGAGCTCGAACCCCCTGTTCAAGGAGACGCTGCGCAGGATTGAGATGAAGCCGGAGTGCGGGGGGTTGCCCATGATCTCCTTCCTCATCCTGCCCATGCAGCGCATCACTCGGCTGCCCCTGCTCATGGACGTGAGAGAGCGCACGCAGACGCACGTGGAGACACCACACAGCAGCGTGGAGTCAGGCTGGGGTCAGACGGGGGTCAGACGGGGGTCAGACGGAGTCAGACAGGTAGTCGTGCAATGCAGAAGGACCAATGCCCAAAACGTTGCTTATGATATTTTTTCTTTTTAAGGCCACAATGTTGATGATGGATATGCAGAGTTATTTTTGTTTTAGGTTACTCCAGTTAGGGCACAGGGTCAGACAGGGTAGCGTTGTGGGTAACAGGGTCGGGTTCGAGGGGTATGGTTCGGGTCAGGCAGGGAAGGGTGAGCGCTCGACACGGTGAGAGGGGTTGATGCTGGCGTCGTCGTTATAATCGTCTCGCCCTCGTACGTTCTCACGACGCAGACGATTTGTCAGAAGTCCAAGCCGAACACCTTCCAGTACGAGACGGCGAAGCTTGCTCTGAAGTCAGTGAGCAAGGTGAGGTCCTCACCATACCGAGAATCATTACACTCACCACACCCTCACCACACACTCATTACTCACCACACCCTCACCCCCTCATTACTCACCACACCCTCACCCCCCTGATCACACTCACCACACACTCACCCCCCTGATCACACTCACCACACACTCACCACACACTCACCACACCCTCACCCCCTCATTACTCACCACACCCTCACCGCCCCGCGTGACACCGCTGTACGTGACACGTGAGCGCGTCTGTCTCTGGCCGCAGGTGGTGAGGGACTGCAACAACGGAGCCAAGCGGATGGAGCACACCGAGATGATGTACACCCTGCAGACTCAGCTCGAGTTCAAAATCAAGGTGACGGTTTTGCCGACATCGCCGGCATCTCCCAGGGCGCGGTGGCCAACGCGGTGGCCACCGCGTTGGCCACCGCGTTGGACACCGCGTTGGACACCGTCCCGGTGCGCTGCGCCGCCCATGCCGTCGGCAGTCGCGCGTGGAACGATTCAGCCCCCCCCTCCCCTCTCATTTCTCCCTCGGGGGGGCGGGGGGGGGGGGCTCGAGCTCCCTGTGTCGCACCCCCCCTGCCTCCCCCTCCAGTGGCGTCTCTATCTCCCCAGGTCTCTCCCCACATGTCTGTCTCTCTCTCCATGTCTCTCCCTGCGTGTCTCTCCCCGCATCTCCCCCCGCGTCTCTCTCCCCCTCTCCCCCTGTGTCTCTCCCCACGTGTCTCACCGCACGTCTCTCCGTGTCTCTCCCCACGTCTCTCCCCGCATCTCCCCCCGTGTCTCTCCCCATGTGTCTCACCGCACATCTCCCCCCGCGTCTCTCTCCACGTCTCCCCCTGTGTCTCTCCCCACATGTCTCACCGCACGTCTCTCCATGTCTCTCTCTCCGTGTCTCTCCCCGCGTCTCTCCCCGTGTCTCTCCCCGTATCTCCCCCCGCGTCTCCCTCCACGTCTCCCCCTGTGTCTCTCCCCACGTGTCTCACCGCACGTCTCTCCATGTCTCTCCCTGCGTGTCTCTCCCCGCATCTCCCCCCGCGTCTCTCTCCACGTCTCCCCCTGTGTCTCTCCCCATGTGTCTCACCGCACGTCTCTCCATGTCTCTCTCTCCGTGTCTCTCCCCGCGTCTTTCCCCGCGTCTCTCTCCACGTCTCCCCCTGTGTCTCTCCCCACGTGTCTCACCGCACGTCTCTCCATGTCTCTCTCTCCGTGTCTCTCCCCGCGTCTTTCCCCGCGTCTCTCCCCGCATCTCCCCCCGCGTCTCTCTCCACGTCTCCCCCCGTGTCTCTCCCCACGTGTCTCACCACGTGTCTCTCCATGTCTGTCCCTGCGTGTCTCTCCCCGCATCTCACGCCGTGTCCTTCTCCACATCTTCCCCCGTGTCTCTCCCCGCGTGTCTCACCGCACATCCCCCCGTGTCTCTACCTGTGCAGCCGTTCCCGTTAGTTTCCGCGTCGCGGTGGCTGCTGAAGCGCGGGGAGCTCGCCACCTTCGAGGAGGAGTCGAGAATCTTCCGCAAGAGCCACAACAAGCAGCTGGTGCACCTCTTCCTCTTTACCGACGTCCTCATCATCACCAAGAAAAAGAGGTGAGCGCTCGGCCCCCAACTCAACTCCCACGGTGAAACTTTCCCCGCAAATTCGGTGTCATATTTCCTGGCCCGGCTTCCCCTCGTTGGGGCTCCTTGGGCTCGGTATTCAGGCAAGAGGGGAGGGCGGGGAGGAGCGTTGGGGCCTTGGCGCAGCTCCACAATGTCGTAGAGGGGTCCCTGCTGGAGGGAGCTCTTGCGAACTCCTCTGCAGGGTATTTTGGTCTACTCTTCCACACCGGGCCAGACTTCTTGAAAGAGGCGTGAGACCCCGCACTTTACCCCGCCACGTGTCGCTTTGCCTGTCGCCTAACCGAGGCGGTGGTGGGATTTAAGAAACCTCGCGCGGCCACTGTTTCAACTGCCTCGCCCGGGCTGGAGGTTGACCGACGATGGGGATGTGGGCTGGGACTGTAATGGCGCAGTGGCCTGTTGGCTGTGTGACCGAGTGTTTCACTTATTTTAAAATCGAGGCTCAAGACCTGTATTAAAGATTTTGATTTGTGATTGTATTCTGGGATCTTACGATTATTCTACTGTTTTGTTGATGTTTCCGTTCTCTCTTCATAATTATTGTTTTGTCTTGGTAAATGTTTGACTTGAACGTGTGCGTGAAGTAGCCTTTCACCTTGCGGTATGATAAGCGTGCGATGAATACAAATTAATTATAATTTCTTCACCTGGTAAGAATCTGGCACCGAGATTCGAGTCACTTTTACAAAGGACACTTGGGTGATGGAAGTGCGGTGCGATTCTGACCTAACAACAAATAACGCCTCCCATCGCATCTGCCCCCCTCATCACATCCACCCCCCATCAGCAACGAGAGCTACCTCGTCACGGACTACGCCCTACGCAAGAAGGTGGACGTGATGGCCATCAGCGGGGAGGAGCTCGCTACGCAGGGTCAGGGAGGGGCCGGGGTCGCGGGGTCGCGGCCGTCTGCCGGGGAGGGCGGCGGCGGTGGTGGGCGGCAGGGCTCGGCCAACCACCTCTTCACCGTGACGATGAGGGAGAACCACGCCGGCGAGCACGTGCAGCTCGTCTTCGTGGCCGAGCTGCTGTGAGTGGCACACGACCGTCCGCGCTCGCGGGGCGGGGGGGGGGGGCGCACATCGATAGCGAGCGGCGGCCGGGGCCGGCGCGGCACACGAGGGGGAGGGGTGGCAGCACCGACGACCCCCACCGCCATCTTAATCTCCCGACGTATTTACACACACCGTACCCGGGTGCTCATTCTAAGGCCGGGTCGACCTAGGGGAGACCCAGGAGCGGTTCAGATATTCGTCGCTGATGTTGGCCGAGCGGGAATCTCACGACGCGACCCACTGCCCCCACATTTACGTGCTCGCTGGCTCACTTTGTAAAAATAAACCAATCTTAACTTGCAGAGGGGAGAGCGCTACGACCGAGACACCCGGAGGGGAGGGTGGCTGTTCTTGCGTCTCACACTAAACCAGGTTTAGCGTCTCTCCAGGCATCCGATACCAACACCCACCATTCACCACTAAGTGACGGATACGTCACCACGACGCCTTTGCCAGGCCAGTCGCACCATGAGGCCACGTGATGTGTCGAAGGCTCGCTGAAAGGAGGTTACGGGACAAGACCCCCAGTTGCCATTGATTGGCTGTGCCACTTACTGTGCACAGCTGGTGCAGTGAATCTGCGTCCACTCACGGTCGTCGCTCACGTAGGCGCCGACTGGCGCCAGCGGCGCTTGGCGTACCAGCCGGCGCCCTTAATGCGTTTGCCTGTCTCTGTTGCTTTGCCGGTGACCTCTGCCCACTAGGAGTGACCGGGCGCGGTGGATCACCGGCATCCGGGAGAGCCGGCAGGAGGAGCCGGACCTCGTGCGCAAGACCAAGGAGCTGGAGAGTACGGAGAAACGCACCACCGATTCATCCGTGCCCCTTCCGTTGTTACATTCATCGTCACAACTCAGAATCTGAAGTGCAGGGTGGCACGCGTAGCCATCGCAGGCACGAAGCCATCGCTGATCGGTCTTTGCGCTTCTCTACGGACAGTCAGCGCATCATTTCGCCTTCCACCTTAATTCATATCCGCACAAAAATGTTTGTTTATTCTCACTTAAAACGTACTGGTACATACAACTCTCGACGCTGTCTGATGCCATCTGTTAACCTCTCGCGCTGCACGGTCTACGTCTGGTTCGGGAGCCACGGTGGCTAGGAGATGTTAACTACCTCGCCTGGTATACGGGTGGTCGTGGGTTCGATTCCGACCCCATCGCCCGCTGTATATTTGGAGTTTGCGCGTCTCTCTCCCCGTAGTCGGGTGGATTTTTCTCCGGGTCGTCCGCTTTTTCTCTCCACATTTAGAATCAACATCACCACGCTTTTAGAGTATTTGGCTGCAATAAATTTCCACGTGATGATGAGCCACTTCGTTGAGCCATCATTTGTGGGTAGCCACGTCGCTTCTGAAAAATAGCTCATTGGGCCTTACCCGGTAAAATATCAAAATAGTCGTTAACCTCTCACGTCCGCTTCGGCGACGCGCGTCTCGGCGGCCACCGGCGCGCTCTCTCGCTGTCCGAGCCGTGGCTCCGAGCGCGTGCCTGAGCGGCGACGTCGCCCCTGTGACTGCGACGCCACCCACGCAGGCCGCGCGCAGGTGGAGGCCGTCAAGACGTACGGAGCGAAGCATCCCGATGAGCTGAGCCTGCAGAGCACCGACGTCGCCATCGTCTTCCAGAAGGTCCTCGACAGTGAGTGTCGCCCCCCCCCCCCACCGCCACCACCACGAAGGAGCGGCGACGGCGGGGCCTAGCGGCGTGCCCGCGCAAGGCCCCCACCGAGGACCGTGGTGCCGCGGCCGCGTGTTTTGCGAATCGATTTACTTGACGATTTCTGAAAATTGTAATTGTGGTCCATCGTTGACGTAATTGTCACGATACGGCAGGGGGGGGGGTGTCCCGATTATCGATCAAATTTCTCTCCGAAAATCGAATTCTGAAGTTCCAAGGCACGTGGAGTAAAACGTCGGACATCGTGCGGTACGAGACGAAAACCACATCGGAGAGCCGTGCAGCAGCACGACCGTGCACACCGACGCAGCCAGCCGTGTTGATTGGGGAGGGGAATTATTTTCTTGCTCGTGGCCAACTGACCTCTGATCCCCACTTGCCATCGTCTGGCTCCTCACCTCCCTGCAAATGTCACCAATGACCAACTCCTCCCCTACGAGTACCCTTACTCACGTGCGTGCTCGTACCCTTACCCACGTAAGGGTACGCTCCAGTTTGCCGTACCCACGTGTGCGTACCCTTACCTGCGTGTGCCTGCGTGTGCCTGCGTGCCTGCGTGTGTGCGTGTGCCTGCGTGTGCGTGTGTCTGCGTGTGTCTGCGTGTGCGTGTGTGCGTGTGCCTGCGTGTGCCTGCGTGTGCCTGCGTGCGTGCATGCCTGCGTGTGTCTGCGTGTGCGTGTGTGCGTGTGCCTGCGTGTGCCTGCGTGTGCCTGCGTGTGCGTGCGTGCGTCGGCGCCCCAGACGGCGAGTCGGGCTGGTACGAGGGCGAGCGGCTGCGCGACGGCGAGCGGGGCTGGTTCCCGACCGAGTGCGTGCGGGAGATCACCAACGGCGACACCATCAAGAGCAACCTGCGGCGTCTCGAGCGCCTCATGGGCATCGAGACCGTCGTGTGATGCCTGCACCTAGCCTGGCACGGCCGGCGAGGGTTCCCGACGGCCGCGGCGTCGTCGCCACCCTCGCCCAGCCCCGCGCCCGCTTACACCGTGTCGGCGTTGGCGTCGCCCGATACATCGAGGGGGCGGATAAGGACGCTTGACGTTCGGAGGAATTGTCAGCCGAAGGAGCAAAAATGGCTTCGGTGTTTTAATTTAAACCGGCTGTGCTCCTGGAACGTTTTTTTACGAAACCTCAAAGTGATCAGATCAATTTTGCACACGCACACGTGTAGACTTGCATGTAAACAGGGGGGCCATGGGGGGGCGGGGGGGGGGGGTGAGAGGCCTGGGGCAAATCTCACTTCAGACTAAACTGGAAGTATTACATCTGTCACCGTGACGTCGAAGCGCTGGGCTCCCCAAAGCGAGTGGCCCGGGGCGGGTCACCCCTAGGGACGTCTCTGCAAACACATATATACATACACACACGTACGTTCTTCCATATGTCCTCTAACAGACTGGTGGGGAAGACACGTGCCCAAGTGCATGCACGCACACAGATCCATGCAGTCGGCGCTGCCGCACGCCGTTCGCCACGCGGTGGCAGTGATGACGGCACCACGGGCTGGGTGCGCTCTGAGGTCACGTGACACGTTGAAGCCACTTGTACACACTTGTTCAAATACATACAAACACTAAACTAAGACTGCATTCTTTGTAAGCGTCATTAGAAGGTGGTGATGTGGCCAGCACCATTCCTGGCCACCTTTGTCTCCCCACTGGTGACGTGTGTATACTGGCACCAGCTACAGTGCTAATTTAAGTTCCACGAGCCTTGGCTGAGAATCTAAAGCGGGTTTCTCAGTGCCGCTCAGCACACCACATGCACACACACACAAAGATCCCCCGTATAGCCTTCACAGGCTGTAGGGGCAAGTGCTGTTAACGAGCACCTATAAAGGCCGGCACGGCACACGAGGGGGTGTGTGGCCAACACCACGCCCGGCCGCCTTTGTCTCCCCAGTGGACTTCGGGGAGGTCCAGGACCTGTTCAGATAATCGTCACCGGCGTTGGCCGTGAGCGGGAATCGAACACGGGTCGCTGGGTTCGTAGCGCAGCGCAGTGCTAACCGCTACACCACCGCTCCCCACACACACCGACACACACGCACACCGACACGCACACCGACACACGCACACCGACACACACCGACACACACCGACACACACGCACACCGACACACACACACCGACACACACCGACACACACACACCGACACACACACGCACACCGACACACACGCACACCGACACACACCGACACACGCACCGACACACGCACCGACACACCGACACACACACACACCGACACACACACCGACACACACACACCGACACACGCACACCGACACACGCACACCGACACACCGACACGCACACCGACACACACACACACCGACACACACCGACACGCACACCGACACGCACACCGACGCACGCGTGCACAAACACGGTTGAAGCGAGATGCTTAGACTGTTATTTAATTACAATGTAACAATGACACTTTGTGTTCAGGTTCCCTTCCCCCGCCTCACCTCAAATCGGCTACCTGCCGTGCTAAAGAAGTCCAACGTACACACGACACCATCCATTTCAATGTTGCATTTTAAATTCGAAGCTTCCTCTTTAAGAAGCCTCACGAGATCTTGTTTGTATATTTTGTGCTGTTGACTGTAAAGAGGGGGGCTGGTTGGAGGGGTCGCTTCGACGAGTGGCTTAGACTGCTCTTGCACATGCACTGATGCTTGCGAGTTGTAATATTTTACGCGATACTTAAACCTGCGCTCACACAATCATTATAAAGACGATTTCCTGCTGAAATTAGCAATGAGGTGGTGGGTGCTCATCCTGAGCTCGTGGGTGGGAATCTCACTGTGTCCTGTGCCAAGGTGGTGAGTCTACTACACACCGTTCAACCCCTTCGACTTCCCCGTAAAGTGGTACCAGTTTTTATCGACCCTGAAGAGATGATGACTCAATCCTCAACCAGGAATTGAACGTGCACCCTTCTGATTGTGAGGTCACCCAACCTCAGGGCCACGTGGCAGGATAATCGCATTTTTGCAAATGTAACATTTGCAATATGCTTGGTGCAGGAAAATGTCTTCGGTTAATAATGAACTCTATATATTGTGAATAAAGGTCGTTAATGACTTAGACGTCAGCCCCGAACTGTTGGGAAAGCCTGTGGGATGAACACTGTGTCAAAGTTACCACTAACTCTGAGCTGACTTTTAAGTCTACGTGCCAGTTCACCCCTCCCAAGTGGAGTGGTTTGCTCCGATTTGAACAGTCTGTTCAGTGTGGAATGTACCATGTGCAGTGGGCGATTTAGGCAGGGGTGTGGAAATGCGCTGAATTCTGGATTGCCACTGCTTGAGCTTTCGGAACATTTTTTTTCAATATTCTCCTTGTTGATAAAACTGCTACTAGAATTGTTTTGTTCCACAGATAAAAATGTGCATTTTATTTATTTGCCTTTAATAATAATTGTTGGGATTAGCTTTAGGTGGGGTTTTCCGTCGACTCTGATTGTATTGAAACCCGCCCGCCTCGCGTGTTCCACGCCGCTGAAGACTTAATCCATGGCTGCGTGTTCTTCATCCACGACGAGAGCAGCCTCGGCACTCACTCTCAGGAGGGTCTTGTCTGAGGGTGTTGGGCCAATTACCATCGAGGAGCGTTCGTTTCACTTGCGGGAGTGAAACCGCACACCCCCGGAGAAGCCCCAACTCGCACACCGCGTGGGGTAACTACGCTGGCAAGCTCTGCCCGGGTGGAAACACGACCACGGCTGCCGTACTGCCTCCTCCTGCCCACCTCGCGCCCCCCCCCCCCACTACCCTCCCCCGGGTGGAGTTGGATGTTTGTTTCGGCAGTTCTGCTGCCCGATCTTTGCCTCCCGAGTCGCCGGATCACGTCCGCGAGCCGTGGGGCATGATTTGCGTACAGCTGCCGTCCCTTCCACATGGGCGAATGGTGTTCGGCGCGCGACGCACGCATGTCCACGTGCGATGAGGGTCAGCCCGTGCCCAAGGTTTAGAACATTTGTGAGCCATTGGGAAACCAAAACACCTTGGGTGAATATTGCATTTAAGGGCCCCCAACCACGTGCCACGAGAATCCGCTGCCACGAGTGTATAAATGTGTGGAATCGTCGGTAGAGATGTTGATTTTGTTTGTTGGGTGATTGCTTCCCCCCTGCGAGTCGGCGGGTAATGAGTTCGATGCATTCTACCAAACTTAAAAATGTGAATGCACCGTTTTAAAAGATTGCTTCAATAAATGGCATTTCTCAACATCGTCTATTTTCCTTATTTTTGCAATGGATGACTTAACAAAGATACCCAAATGTTGCTAAAACTAATTTACTCCGTAAACGACGAGAAAACCCAGTAATAATACAACCGCATTATGCCCGAGGACACACGGCCATTGTGCACATGCAACAAAAATAAATCAGCATTTCCTGGAGCAGTGCATTGTGGTCCTTTATTTTGTCTCGGATCACCATCAAGGTGTCGATCAGAGCGAATGTGGCCGACTGATAACTCATCAGGCACGGTGTAGTCACCAATTGGCTACTTTCCGTCAGTCCGCCCTTGAGTCCCATTTTTGTGGAGTCCCCCACAGCCACAAACTGACAACTCACCAGACACAGACCGACGGATGTGAATTGTGCCCTGTGATCGTGATCCATGCTAATCGGACAACCAGCGGGAAGTAACTCACAAACGGGTTCAGGTTGAAGAGGAGAGAGATTCCACCTCGGGTTTTCCAGTCTCGAATTGATAGCTCGTCGTGCAGCTTGAATTTCATTCGGAAATTAGAAATGGGATGACAGTGGTTGCAACATCAGCGCTGTAACAGGACAACGAATCCCTCGACAGAATGGATGATTCATCGTGTGCACAGTCCAGACCCAAACATGGAGGAATTGGGCGTGGTTTAGCCCAAATATATTTAGTGATCGAGCAGTGATCGAGCTATGACATTTTGAATAGGTGTATCTATGTGATCTAGCTATGACATTTTGAATTGGGCAAAGCCGCATCAAATTTCTCCATATAGGCCTGCAAAATTAATTAAATGAAGCAACCATTCCGCTGCAGGATTCTTGTCCTGTTCCAGCACCTTCTCCAGCAGACGGACGCTCGCAAGCCCCACAGCTTCCCAGGAGAACCGCTCGGGTGGAGGCCAGCTCTGGTGCAGCGTTGTCGTCGTCATTCGTCACGGCCCGCAGCAGCCACGAACAGCAGCAGCAGCATTACTGCTGGGGTGGAGAGGAGCCCAGCGAGCAGCCAGCCAACAAACTCGAGGCATAGATTGTTATTTTTTTAATAATAGTATTATGACGATACGATTTCGCGACAAGAGGGGGTTTTCTAGGAAATAACCTCAGCGGTCGACTTTATTGAGTGGTGGAGCGCGGTCAGAAGCAATCCCAATGCTTTCCAGTTCCGTGGAATACGGGGAGCGAGGTGACGCAAGCGTGAGTTACACGGCGCGGGGGAAGGGGTGGGATGGGTGATCGAGCTAAATTGCACAAGCGATTTGGAGGCGAAACTTGGGCGACGCGGTTGAGGAGTATCCCCTCGATTTATCTCTCACCTACGCACCGTCACCATCCTGGTATTGGCCAATGTTAATACAAATACTGTTTAGACGACGAAGCTACAGTTAAAACGGCCGCTAGCATATTCCATGTAATAATCACAGTCGATGTAGTTAAGTTCATTTTTAATATGGCAATACATTGGAAGTATTTCAACGACTAAAGTGTACGCTTTTAAACGTTTCAAGTGGCTCGGCACCGTCCCCCAGCTCGGGTTTCGGAGCCACAGCCGCGTGAGCGATCGTCCCTCGGGGCGCCCTCCTCGCTTAGCCAATCGGAGCGCTCCCCGCCATGATGACGCGCGACCGCTTGTGACGCTTCGGGGGCATGGCTGCCACTTTGCCGCTTCGCGCAGCGCGGACGGTCGAAAATGCCTCGAGCCGCATCGACGATCGCCTTTCCTATCCTTTACAGACGTAAAGCTACGCGTGGCGACGCGCAGGAGACGTTCACCGAACACGTTGAATTGTATTTTAGTTTAAATGCGTTTCTGTTAATCGAGCGAGCGCTTGTTAAAAATAAAGCATATTTCATCTCCGTGCACGTCGGTTAAGAATGAATTAAAATCGGATAAAGGAGTTGGCAATTTTTTTTTATGTAACTTAGGTTAGGGATTGGATGGTTGGCTCAAAAAACTATAAGACATGGGTTCTGGGGTTACCCCGTGGTCATGGTTTAGCCACTCCAGTCATTCAGTTTGTGTTAAAATGACTCAACAGCTCGAATGTAGCATAACGGGTGTCGAGGCATCACCGAAACACCACAGCACAGGGCTCGACTGGTGACAAACATCACCCTCGACCGTGAAACAAACTACACAGGATCAATAATAACCATCGTGAACGTCTTCACACGGCTCTCAAACTATACGTAGAATTATCTGGCTGTAATAAGGAAGTTTTGTTTATCTTATAATGTATGCGTACTACCGTCATGTTCTTCCGACACAAAAATCCCCCGTTTGCACACACACACACACACACATGCGTTATGTGTATTAAACACAAACGCACGTGTGTCTAAAGTC